TTTGAAATTTATATTTTTTTATCATAAAATGGCACGTTAAGCCGCATCGTAAATTTATATAATATAATCGAAGAAATTTTAAAATATATATATATATATGTATGTATATATATAATATATATATATATATATATATATTAGAATTATTAATTATTATTATGTATTATTAAAATAGCAAGAATTAGGATTTCAGGGATATATAACAATTCAACATCTTTATTTTCTAATTAAAATTACATTTTATTAATCAATCCAAAAATTAATGGTTAATTTCCATCGTTCCATGTTCACCCATAATGCATTTTTATATCACTGAAATAATGATCTATAAATATAAAAGTTAATAAGTAACAATAGTAGAAAACAAAATAAATTTTAATATTATAAATAATAAGTAATTTTCTTATTTGAAATATAACGTTAAAATTTATTAAGTATCGCGCAAGTCGGTCCAATTCCATGATTCTATAACTACTGCAATGCATTTTGGGATACTCACAAAATCTATAACTATGTTCTCCTTATGATACAATGTCTTAAATAATTAAAATAATATTATAAATAATGAAATAATTAAAAACATAATTAACATGTAATAAATTTTCCACGATTCAAAAAATATTTTTTATAACGTGTACGTCTTTATCACCATACAAAGTTCCGTTACACATCCAAAATGGCGAGATATGAAAAAATTGATCTTAACATAATATTTCGAATAAAATATAATCTTAACTTTTAAAACAATTAAATTTTGTCAACATAGTAAATAACACATTAAATAAATAATTTTTAAATATAGAGTTCTATCAATGATATAAATATTAACGTTTCAATGTCCAGAAACTCGTGACATTGACTACGGTAGTCAATTAGATAATTATATAATTTATCACATATCACTGTTTAAATAATTATATAGACACTAATAAAAAATTTGTAAATATTTGAATCAAAATCTATAAAAACTTGTTACTATATGCATTGACACAAACGACAATGGCACCAAACCATAAAATGGCGTCTCTTGAATGAACTATTGTCACTTTTTTATAATTTAAATTATTATCACGTATCACTTCGAATAGAAGCATTAAATCACAGAAAGAATATTTTCAAAATTAAAAAAACAACATACTATAATCTTTAGAAAACAAATTATATAAAGATAAAGGAGTGTCTCAAATGCTCAAGATTAACGACCATTTTAGCTTTGATGACGTAATGAAATACGAAAGTCAAAAAAGAAACTAGATATTTAGGACCTGATGTCAATGCACACGTTAGCATCCTTCCGGTCAACATCAACTCTATCACGTTCTAAATAGCGATTGGTGTACTTTTGTATACTATTTAGATGAACCAATCATTTAAAAACCAATATTGATGAGTCATTCTCTTTAGGATTTTCCATTGAAAATTGCGCAATACTATATGATATTTAATTTTCTTATTCATAAATGAATAAATATCTAAATACAAAGGAATTATATTGTATTTACAATATCTTGAATATATAATTATTAATTATATAGTATTTATAATACTCTATATAATAATTAAAATCATTAATCAATATAATACAATTTTATAAAATTTATAAAATATTTTTATTCATATTTTTATATAATTTCTTTTTCTTTTTATTTTTAATCATAATAAAACAAAAATTATATAAAATACAAAAAATAATGAAAAATCTTGAAAATTAAATTACTCATAAGTAATATAATATCGACTTGATATTATATTATTTTCCACACTTCTTCGAATGCTGTGCATAATTTGCTACATGTTAAAGCGCCAGATAAAGGATAATTACTTATAGATATAGTATCTTCTATATAATCTGACTTTACCTGTAATTTTAATTAATATATAATATATGAAGTAGAATATATATTCTATATTTATTTATATAATATACCTGTCCATGTGCCATTGCACCTATTACAATAGCAATTGGTTCATCAGAAGGAACTAATTCTCGTGGATTTTGTACTTTATTTGCATTAAATGACATTGCAATTTTACGACACCCAACAGGTAAATGATCAGTAATTGGATTTTTAATTACTTTTAATAATTTCATTGGACCATCAGATGCACGAACATTAAATTTATGTAATAATTGTACTGCAAAATATAAGAAAAATTAAATTTTAAAAATAAAATTTTTTAATGTTAATTGTAATTTCATTATTATTTTTACCCATAAGGCCAGCAAAACGTTTAAATGTTCTTGGTATCCTGGTTTGTGGATTTATTTCTATTAATACATTTTTTTCTGTATGTATATAAACTTGTAAAAGTCCAGCTCTATTCAATGGACTATCCATTAACATTAATAGACATTGATGAGTAATATCTGGTCGACATGTACCAGGATCTTTATTATTTTTTTTTAATATATTAATGTGATCATCACAATTCAATAATTCAAAACTATTTCCAACCTAAACAAATTTAAAATTTCAATAAAACTTTATACATATTTACATATAATGAAATTATAATAAAGTATTTATAATAAAATATATTTTTCGATTAATTAAAATTGAAAATTCATTTTAGAAGTTGTGAACAAAACATAACCTTACCTTAACAGATTCTAATTGAGCTTTTTCTAAAATAACAATTAAACGTTTCTCTTGATTTTTAATATGAGCGATATGAAGATGTTTCGGAGCTGGATCATATTCAAAATCTTCTTTTCGATTCTTACGTTTTTGCCCCATTTTTTTGCATTTATTAGAAATAGGAATTTTTATTCCTATATTATAATTCCTATATTAACATGCAATGCATATAGTACTATGTACACAAATGATATAGAGAATAGAGTTATCTTCTCATACTATTTTATATTGAAAGTTCTGAAATACCGATCGTGCAGAAAATCAAAATAAATATTTAGTATGACTTTTTAAATATATGCAATGAGTGTAAGAATTATATTCAATTCAATCATAAAATTTGATTAAGAAAGACAATAAAGTCAAATATTGGAATTGTTTTTTCAAGTATATAAATTTTGTAAAAAAAAAAATATAAATAAAAAGAGCAAATAATTGAAGAAAAATAAGTTAAGAATTAGAAAATCAGCGCCATCTTTTCTGACGCAGATAAAATTATTATAAATGAGAACAAATACTAAGAAATAAATAGATAAGAATACAGTTAAGTTCAATCTGTTAAATGCCAAATATATTTTTTTAAAGAATAAGATCAGTGAAAAGATACAAAACAAACTTTTATTACATATCAATGCATTTTTATCTCTTATGTTTTTAGAATTCTAATAAAATGGAATAAGAATTGAGAATTAACGCCATCTTTTGAATGATTTTTATTTTTTACTCTACTTTATCCTATCTTGAAATATTTTTGCTACTCAAAAGATGGTGCTGATAATCAATTCTCAAACTATTTCTATCTCTTTTTTACTATTTTCTTCTTTATCTATATTTGTTTCATTTGCGATACTCCAGAGATGGCGTTGATTCCTCAATTTTTACTTTAACTCTATCTTTTTTTTCACTTTGTTCACTATTTCTTCTGTTTGTCTATAGTTGCTTTCGGCGCGTGACCACGGACGAGGTTGTATACAATTCCTAATCTAAAGTATGCAATAGATATCTCAGCAATGCAATAATTTACTTTATCAGCAAATAAAACTTGGATGCTTATGCTGACTTGATATGTTTACTCATTCTAAATAAAGTGCTTAGTAATATATCATAAAGTTTGAACAGTTTTTTTCGTAATCTAATACATACATATATATATATATATATATATGTGTGTGTATGTGTGTGTGTGTGCGTGTGTGTGTATTAAAATTCATCTTTTAAATGTAAATCCTTTTCGACGACTTTTAATATCGATCAATTGTTGTGCCTGTTTTTTAAGATTATTTCTAGTTGGTATATCTTCTTCATCTTCGGAAAGCAACGTCGCCGGAGTTGCTGAAGATGGAAATCGTGGAAAAAGTGGTCCTCCATTTGTACGCGTTGCTTTTCCTTCTACCGAAGTAGTTGTAATCGATATCGTTTCCAACTAAATAATAAAAAATCAAAATGATTAGAAAAATAATTTTTGCAAATATAAAATAATAAGTATAGAAAATAACACGTAAGATTTTCAATTAAAAAATTTTATCATAAATTACTCACAAATTATCCTATTATATCAAATGATAAAAATATATTTTAAAATTTACCTTATCAACCGATATTTCATCCAATATTTCCAAATACTTATCCGGTCCTCCCAAAGATTCGATAATACTCGTTGCTTTCTCATTTATTAAATCTATAAGTTGGAGAGGATTTTGAATTTTCCTCGATTCTTCAGGCAACGTATCGATTATATCCTGAAAAATATTATTACATTATCTATTAATTACTTACTTACTTACTTATTATTATTTTTTTTCTTTTTTGAACTATGCTTCTTTATTTTTTCGTCAAAGTATTTATTATCATTTCGTTTTACGAAAAGAGAAATCTTCAAATTTTAAAATTTTTTTCAAGCTTTATATAATTTTTATTCAAACTGAAGATTGATTTCCCAGAAAAGATATTTTGTGAACATTTGAAATTCGTATTCTTCCCCCCCCCCCTGCCCGCCTCCCTCCCCCTCCTACGCGTTAGAATTTTTCTTTCTCTGTTTCGAATGTTTGTCAACGCTCAATAGAGAAGCGAAAGAGGGAGAGGACATAGAGAGATTGCTGGACAAGTTAACGAGTAAGGGCGGCACGTAGAAATTCTAGGGATCGATTGAATCAATAATTGATTTTCTCGTGGTTCGACGTGCTACCGAAGTGTTTACTTTCGATCAGGTTCAAAGGTGTTAATGCCCAGGACAGCGAGTTCTTAAGGTGAGAATTACAGGCAGGAATTGTTCAAGAAAGTTCATTGGTCAACGACGCGCCATTTCAGGGGTGTTAAATCTCCAAAGACAATATAATAGGTATAGGAAACTTGAAGAGGTTCCATTGCTGTAACCGTCATCGAACGTGGCGCTTCACTAATTTAATTAGGAATTTACACGATATCTCCATCGACGATTTTAACATTGGCCATTCGGTTCCTTCCAATGGGATTTGATCCTCTCTGAAGTGTTAATTCATCGAGATATGCGTTTGGTTTAAAGAACGAACGGGCGTTAATTGAAAATCTTTCGTCACGATGGAAGGTAAAATCGGTCGACAGCCATGAAAATTATATCATCCATTTGTTCTTGTTATTGTATCGCATATTTACCCGTCCGAACTTTTCCATCCGTGTGAACCGATACAGAGATCCGTTAATTAAAAAGAAATTACGAGGAATATATACGAGAATAATATATAGGCAATAACTTGGATTTTAAACGATCAAAAACGCAATCGATCGAGAAGGTTACTCACTCGAAATTTGTCGCACACATTCCACAACGTCGTAGCTATTTCTTGCAGCAGATCTTCCACTCTTCGTTTCTCGTTATCTGCCTTTAATTGGCGCGATCGTTGCTCGCCGATCTGACGATTCAGTTTTTCCACCTCTTCCGCGTTTCTTCGAGACGAGGACGAGATCAGAGGAACGAAAATAGACGAGAATAGAGAGGAAAGGTAGAGGAAGGGAAACTAAAACTCACTGTTCCGCGTTCCTCGTCTCGGAGAATTTTCTGCTTTCCATCTCGTCGGCGAGCCGTTGCCTTTGCCTCTCCAGCTTCGTTTTCTCTTGCTCCGTGGCCACCCGCATTTTCTGCAGATTATCCTTGGTCGCCCGCTGACCCAGAAACCGGTTCAGAACGTCCTCCGTTCTCGACACTCCGGTCGCGCTGCGAAGTTTGGCGAACGTCTCTTCCAACCGTGCCACCTCGTCCTTGCCAACGTCCTCCGCGCCATAGCTTTTCCCACGTGCCTCGAAATCGTCCCGTGGACGCGAATGGAATATCATCTTTTCCAAACGCTCCAGCTCCGTCTTTCGTTCTAACACGCGCTCCCTGATCTCGTGACACATCTTTAATTCCATTCTTCTCGCATATATTTATGTATTGTATGTATTCATCTTAACCCACGAATTAATTTCCCTCCCTCAAATTTAAATCGTTTTAAATTTTCTATTAAAAAAAAAAAAGAGCCAAACCTGTACTCCTCGAGAACAGCGTGCCGCTCCTTGCTGCAATTCGTAATTTCAATCTCTTCCTTTATCAACATCCCCTGCATATTATCCTTCAAAGTAATGGCTTCTTCTCTCACCCCCTGCCCACACACACACATACACACACATATCATACTCTACATTCCTCCCTCTGCGCTATGTTGAATTCCTTGCCTGAAGACGTCTCGTCTCGTTCTCCCGTTCCTTTATCTCGTCCTCGAGACTCTTCAGGATAGACGGGTAAAACACAGATCTTTTCTTTAAATCGGATCGCATCGACAGATACTTCATACGCGTTATGTTCGCCTTAATTTGCATCATCCTCACGTGCTCCAAACGTACTTCCAGCTTGACGATTCTCTGTAACAGCGATAGCGTAACGAGCACGGACGAGCATCTCCCCGACGATCTTTATCTCAACTTACGTTTCTCAACGGATTCTCCATCCTCTTCTTAAATATCTTCCGCATCTTATCGCTCATTAATCGACTATACTCGTCCAGCAACGAGCGCAATCTCTTCTGTCGCTTAAGAAACAGATATTTACACGTTCGCGCGAAACAACGTTCTTTTTCTTTTTCTGCTCGAGATAGAGAGAGAGAGAGATCGGTATCTCACCTCGTTGCGCTGATACTTAATTAGATCGTGCCTCTTTCTCAACCGTACATTGTCCTCCTCCGCTCTGGCGATCGCCTCGTCTAAATTGCGTTTTTTCTCATAGGCAGAAGAACCGCCCGTGCGAACTCTCCTCCTCTCCCCCGATTTTCCCCCATTCTGGAAACGGAGAAGAGGGGAAAAAAAAAAAAAAAGGAAGAAGGAAAGGAAAGAAAGAAAAATTACTGCTTTCACGCCGAACCGATATATAATATTATTTCGAAACCGATTTTCATCCGCGTTTTCAACTTCGATCATCACATTTCATAATTACGTTCTGCGTGTTTGCGTACTCCACGTACAGTTCTTTGATGCTTTGCTTGAGAGTTGTAATTTTCTCCGCGTATTCATGCTTCTTAGCTTCGTATTCTTCGAAATTCGCTTTCCTTTGTCCCTCTGTGAACATAAGGCACACGCTTGATTATTAACACATCTTGTATCGTATATACGATGCCCGATAATATCTATTCCTCGTCGAGGAACGCTTATGAGCAAAATGTTTGTACCTATTTCTTACGTCTCTTACTGTGATTTTATGTAGCCGAGGAATGTTGTTTTAAACGAGATGCAATTTTACTTGTCAATATTGTATGAATAGCGTTTAGCGAATTTTTACCCCATCGAAAAACGTTATTTCGCTCCGTTGAAAAAATCCATTTTATATCGGCTCCGATCTAATCGATTTTTTCCTCTTCTTCTTCGAAATATATATATAAAGAGAACGGAGAAATAATTAAGCTATAAAAGGAGATAAAACGGTTTCTATAATAATAGCCGAAGGATAGATGGAACAAACGCAAGTCGTGACCGAACTGATGATTGCGATCGAGTCATGATCAAGATTATTTTGCATGTGCATCTTAAGCGAGCCAAATTGTCCAAATTGCTTAAATCGATGTCACGATTTCCCACGAAAGTGACTTTGTTTAAGGAAACTTGTTAGCAGTTGCTCATATTGTCCTTTGCGAGCGAGAAGGAATGTAGGATACGATAATCGTTTCTTCCACGATAAAAATATTACTTTAGATACAGTTACTTTTATAAACAATTGCCCTCGATCAATAATGATACAGTTCTTTAATTCGACAATTTTTATTTACGAAACAATGTACGTTATTTTATATAATTCGTTTAATAATTTATGCAACCCGTTTATCGATAATAATCATCGAATTCGTCGTGAATCTTAAGCAAAAACGAAGACACGAGGATATTTCATATAAACGTACGAATTCTCGAATACCGATACGATACCGGTTTACGTTTAATAGAAACGCTTAGTGTGGAATATTCGCCTTGTAATTAACATTTTGATATAAGTACATCGATAAACCGATGGAAATTTTCTTTTTTCCCCTCTCCGAGGGAGGCATGTGACAAGAACGTTTCTTTCTGAACTTCTAGTCTTTCCGGTTAAACGTGTTCTTATGTATCTCCGTATGCAATCAGGAACTGGCTTGGGAAATAAACGCTAACGAATTGTTTTCTTTTCACAGGGAACGCGAACAACATCGTGGCAAATACATGGATATTAAACGAGATTGAGCGAACAGATTATAATTTTTCACGATTTTCACAATTTTGTTTTTTCACCAAGCAACGCAGGTTTACCTGATAATTGGATCTTTTTCTTGATTTCCACGATTTTCTTGTTCAAATCGTTTAATTTATTGGCAGATTGGCCCATGCTAGGTGCTAACGGATCGGACATGATTCCACGCACTTGAGAACTTGGAAAGCAATCTGCTTATTTTATCGACTCAATAGGAGTTGGCGTTGTCCTGGCAACAGCATAACCGAGGAACTCAGTTCCTGGTGTCATGCGTAAACGTGTAATTTATGATAAATACCATGCATATTATTTTCATAAGCCTTTAAAATATGCGTTTTAATTTTTATCGTCATGCTTAATTAAGAATACCTAATAGACACGCATAAGTAGATACTAGCTGGAGTGAAACTAGCTGGCTTATAATTTTACATCGAATCCGTTTCGAAAAAGGAATTAAGTTTTTTCTTTTTTTTTTTCTTTTAATTTTACCAACGAATCAAACTCGAAGTTGAAAAATTGACAAAAATTGTCGCTTTCGAAACACGATGGCGTTGCTGCTCTCGATGGCGTAAATATCTCGCCCGACGATGCATCGTTCGTTGCAGATGTTCGCGGTTCGATGATAGGGTTAATCGTTCCATTAATAAAAACTAACGACCATGGTGTATTTACAGTTTCGTGAGTGTATCTCGCGTGCCTTTGGGAACACAAAAGGGGAAAGCAATTCGTAAGGCTTGGTCCGTTGAACGGGCTTAAAGGAGAGGGCACCGAATTATAATTCCGCATTTGTATTCGTTAAGGCAGCAGCCGCGCCTGGCGGCGGCTACGCTGGCGATGAATTTCGCGTTACACGCAATCAACCGCTGGAAGGTTAATTAATGATCAGACATGCTTGGCCAGTACTCGACGGGGCCTCATACACATCGGCGTCTTGGCACTTTATAACTGACCACGTTCGTTGCGTTCCGTTTGCCGCTTGAATTCTAGAGAAGCGTCACGCGCGATGGCGTTAGATTTCAATCCGGACGGGGAATCAGGGATTCGATCCACACTTGAGACTCGAATTCGTGAAATCGAATTGAAAAATATAAAAAAAAATAACAACGGAGGAAACGGTTTAATCGTAATTTATATACTTCGTAATCGTGTATACTTTAATTGTTAAACTTGATATCGAGATAATTAAATTAGCTTCGTTAGAGATCGTTTGTCCTTGCGCAAAGTGTAATATAACGAGAAAAGAGAATTTATTAGAAAATTTACATATTATAATCGAAATGATAGAACGTTTGTACGATAAAATTTATTATCGGCCAAATATATCTATATTTATATATATGAGTATTGAAAAACTGGATATCGAAATTGTTTTTTATAATATTTATAACGTACGAGAAAGAGAATAGTTGTAAAAATTAATTTTCGTAAATGAAATTATCGAATAAATTTTTTTATAATTTATTTTTAATTCTTTACAAAAAATAGTTTGGCTGGGTAAAAATTCTTGTATAACCGAAAGTATAATATGTGCGGGCTACGGCTCGATTCCCTTGTAGCCATATTCCTATTGGGTCACGTCGTCAGCCATCCCATGGTGGCGTAGTAATACAGCCGTTGAAGGCAGGTGCGCGCGCACTGGGGAACTACTTTCAGCGCGTTAAGCGAACAATAGGGATCCCAGAAGTGTTTCGGACGCGGTCGTGTTCGTATACGGTTGCCGCATGCTTTTTTCTCGTATTGCCTCGCGTGAACGTGTATACACTTTTACTGGACGTATCGGAGGTGACAGATTTCGGACGATGTGCGTGGTCAAGTGACGGTACGCGGATTTTATACTGAAGTGCACCGAAGTGTTGGTTCTCTCTAGTGTGTGCGCCCAAGCCCCGATGAGTGTGTGTCTACCCGATGTGTGTGGATAAAATTCACGGCATCATGTTGCCACGACGAAAATTGGATTACGCATCGATGGCGTGTCTCCTTCTGCCTCTGTTTATCATCGTTTCTCTCCCCGCGGTATCCGGTAAGTGTATTTACGCATCTCTTCGAAGAATTTGCGTCGCGTTCGCTACGGAGTCAGTTTGAAGTCGTTGTTCGCCACATGTCGCTGCTAGGCAACAGGTCACGAAACAACGCTGAGCGCCGGCGCGTTGGACGCTTACATGTTAACTGACATTCGGCGTTTTTTTCGAACGTTCACTCTATTAAGCGTCTTACAAATCGTTTGAGGTCGAAACGTTGAAAGATTAACGAACGATTTCTTTCATATAATTGGTATTCCGAAGCGATGTCGGACATTGTCGTGCTTTCAATTACTACCTGTCTCAAAAATATTGATCGTGTCAGTATGCTTGTCCTGCTCGTCGCGTCTCTTTCTTTGCGAAATGTATATTTCTTAATAATTTTTTTCTCTCATTTTTGTTCTCTCATATATCATATTATATAATAAGGTTATACTTCTAAAAGTGAGATTACGATTATTACTATATATATGAAAATTAAATTATATTTCTTTATTTGTTGATGTCCGTATAAGGAAATTTCTTTTAATGCTTTTATCGGATTTTTATATTCTTGACGCATGAGTGTTAGCTTCTTCGAATACACGTGGTTATGTTACTGTCACAGTGGTGCTCAATTTCAATATCATCGATAAGCGTGTGCCTTGAAGTTGGTAATCCCTGAGGGACAGGTGCCAACCCCGCTTTCCAGGAAACGAGTCTTCCTTCCCTCGTGTGCACGTAAACATCCGAACCAACGTTTCGCGTCCCCGTTCTTTTCATCTTTTCTTTTTTTTTTTTTTTCTACGAATAACACCGAAATTTTTTCTTTATACGAAAAAATTTTCAAAATCTTTTTTATTATTATTATTATTATTATTATTATTCCATTTTACATCGGTAATTAGATTTTAATGATTAAAAAAAAGATATATTTTTTTCATCGATCATGATTTGATCAAATGATGATTTTTACACATGGTGTTTAATTATTTTGCAATCATTTTTATTCATCAAAGGTCACGAGTTACATGATTAAAGAATATATAATTAGAATTCCATTCTTCCTCTCGAGTTGGAAAAAAATCGATATATTGCATCTTGCAACATACGATTTTATCACTTAAAGTCGATGTAACTCGTTTTAAAAATACAATGAAACGAGTGATTTATATATTTGAAATAGAATAAAACTACGTAAAATGAGAATTACGCGCAATGTAATTTCATCTCTATTTCGAACAATGCAAGATGCAGAGTAGTTTACAATCTTTTGATCGTTTATGATCATGAATTTTTATTTTCACTTTTCTACAACGCATAAATCTCTGTAGGCAGTGACGTAACACTGGCTCGGGCCAATGAGTACTTAGGCGGGAAGAACGTGCGGTATAGAATAATCTACCAAAGAAAGTTGGTAAAACCGAATAGTAGCGACACGTAGACAAATGCAAACTCTGATTGCAGATTGTTTTCCAACCTTATTGCATAACAAATTTCATTTTAATTCCATTTTTGATTCATATATACGAAAGAAATATCAATATTATTTTTCTCATTCAATCGAAAATATTCAAAATACATTCAAAATATTTTTTCCCCATTTTTTTTTTCAAATTGTACAATAACATCGATTTAAAATATTAAA